CGACCACTTCTGAAGATGGTAAATTCTTTCTTTTTAAAATGCTAATTCTTTAATCGCTTGCTCTTAGCTGCGGTATAATGGCCACAGAAAAGATGGCTAACTACACCGGAGGCATCTACGCCGAATATCACGACACGGCCTTCATAAACCATATCGTCTCTGTGGCCGGGTGGGGTGTCAGTAATGGGATCGAGTACTGGATTGTCCGGAATTCATGGGGTGAACCGTGGGTAAGATGTTTCCAGATTCTAACTGTGATGGCTCTGTTGGCTTTGTAGCTAAGAACTGTGGCCCTGAGCAGAGGGGCCTCTTGCTCCAGCCCAGGAGCAAGCACAGTGACACGTGGGGTCAGGTACTTCTGTGTTGTGTGGGGGCTGTCGCTGTCCTGTGCATCCCTGGCCCCCACCCACTAGATCCTGATAGCTCCTTCTCCCTGTCCCCTGCTTGTGACCACCACCAGTGTCTCCAGACACTGCCAAATGTCTCCTGGGGAGAAATCCCCCTGGCTGAGAAGCACTGCTTTAGAGGTTTCCGTTTAGCTAGCTCATTCCTTTACAACACTCTTCTTCCTGTCAGTTTCAGAGCTCCTAAGTAATACTGTGTAATTTTTTTCAAACATATTTTTGAGTTGGGCCAGAAATCCAGGGGAGATAAATTAACTGCAAGAATTTTAATTTCTAAGACTTAGTATTAACCATTAACAGTCTAAGACACAGAAATTCATTAATATGAAATGGGGGAAAGTGATTAATGTCAAAGTGATGAAATGTCAATTTTTCTTAAATGACTACAAATGGAGATATTAGTAGGAAGTCAAGTCATCTGGTCTAAGGAGTCAACATTTTTGTGACATTAATTAGCTTCTGGTGTACAGGGCCACAAACCCATTAAATATTAACTAAGTTAAAAATTTCACAAAAGGTTATTTCTGAATGTGGGTCCCAGGAAAGGGAAGGGGCAGCGGAGTGGGTGGTTTGGGTGCTGCATCCCCCCGCCTGAGGCCGAGTGATGAGGTAGAGAGGAGGCCCATTCTCTACCCTGAAAGCAGAGGGAGAATTAGGAGTCTGTGGGTTGCTGAGCTAATGTACGATCCCACTTCTCACCCACAGGGCGAGCGAGGCTGGATGAGGATAGTGACCAGCACCTATAAAGACGGGAAGGGTAACTATTACAACCTCCATATTGAGGAGTCCTGCACATTTGGGGACCCCATCGTTTAAGGCAGATGTCCCCGGAAGAGCAGTTTTTTAAGAAATATCACGAACTATAACCAGAGGGGATCCGATCTATTGTTACAGGCACTGGGTTGCTACTGCCATGGTTTGAAGGAACTGGGGGTTGATATTCAAATCAAACTGGTATCTGTCATCTGGTAATGGCATTGAGCACCTAGAAGGGGTGCCTCAAAATGCAGACCGATGTGGTACCGGCTGAAAGAATATTCCCGAGAGAAGAGTCTACAGTGGGATGCCTTAAACACCCGCACAGGACTGCTCCCCTGCCATGACGATAGCCTCCATTTCCTTCAATAGATGGTTCGTTATCTTCTCTTTGGCAACTGTGATCTATGATGTGGCATTTAAGAGGTAAAACAGTTTAGATTTATCACCAGTTCTTATGTCACCTTAGAATCAATGGTGGGGACAGACGGGGGCGATGGCAATTTCGAATTGCCCAAGCAATGAATAAAATATGACTGCACACAAGAACTGAGCCCGAACGTGCCTTATTTACACATAACAACAACGTAATACCAGGATCTACACCTTCCAACCCAGAATGGCTTTTTTTTTATTTGTTCTTGGAAAATTAAAACAATTACAATAAAATATCAACTAGCTAATCGGGTTCTTGTGAGAAAACTTAAGTCAACTTTGAAAGTAGTTCGTTTGAGTGTCTGTTTCTGAATTCCTGCCACCCTTGGGGCTGACAACTGGCTGCATCCCAAGAGGTAACACGAACCTAGCTTCTATACGGGGGGAAAGAACACTGTAAACAGGATTCAGGGGCAGCCCTGGACTTACAACAAGGAGAGCGGACTGTTCTCAGTAGAGAAAGTGAATAGAATTCACTTACACTGCTAACATTCTCCTTTCTAACAGAGTTATCCACCTCCCCCAGCAGAGCCCATTTCCAAGATGCTGACCGAGCCTCTTCACACACGTTTCTGGAAAGGATTTTTCCACAAGTGGTCTGGAATGTTCCACTTCAGCTCTGGAAGGTGCTCTAAATTAGTTCACCAGGATGAAGTTGGACTTGCAGTGAGCTTTAAAAAACAGAAGGCAAACAGTCACTGGGTTAGAAACAGGAGGTAAAAAATGACACTTAAAATTGTAGCAAAGGGACATTCACGTCAACCATACCTATAAATTCCGTTACAGGGTCATGTTCACCTTCTGTTTTAATGGTGCCTGCGATGCTGTCGTTTTCTAAGATGGGGAGGAAAAGCTGCACAAAGTCAGAGGTGTATGGAGGAGCGATAACATCCAGCACCTAGGAGGAGAGAACACCAGGTCATTCCTCCTCCCGCACAGCCTGTGAGCGGCATCGCACCAACATGCTAATGAAACGGCAATCAGTCAGGAGAAAACCACCCTTCTCTCCCCACTTTTTGCTTCCTGTTGACAACATCAGCCTCCAACATTAAGACACCCAGGTGGTAATGCAGATAAAGCACATAATAAGTTCCTGCAGGCAGCAGGTGCTTGGTAAGGTGGTATCTATGTCATTGTTATCACCATGATTATCAGAAAGCACAGTTCTCAGTTAGGTACAAAATGAAGTAAATTAAACCAAAAAGGGCACTGCTAGTGTCAATAGTATGAAATGTGAAACAAACAGTGTATTGCTGACCTCAGTTACAAAATAGCGAATGAGTGAAATGTCAGTGTCCAGCTTCTCCAGACACTTTCGGATGTAACTGACAACAGGAAGTACATAACCTCGACTCAGCAGGTGAACCATCCTGTCCAACAGGGTCTTCTTCAACTCAAGCTACAAGAGTAGGGGCAGAGAAGTCCATTAGAATGGGGTCCTCTCCCCAAACTGCACGACAAACCCCATGGGCCACCTGCTCACCTGTTCCATCACATCCAGCTGGGAGTGCTCAGTCTCAAAAAGCTTAACAAGCAGCTGCAGGACCTGGGGGTGCAGAAGCTGGTGGCAGGTACTGATCTACAACAGGCCAAAGGAAGCCGCACTGAGCACTATGGTTGGGTCTCTGGTCTCACCATCAGCGTAGAGAACTATCATTGTCACAGCCACCAAAGACAGCTTCTCGCTGACAATGGTGGTACTCAACACTTGCCCCAGGGCTGGTCAGCTTCTGTACCATCTCTCATCCCTTCAGGGACTTGATAAAAACTGAGAAATCTACAGAGTTGTTGAAACTAGTTCCTTAAAAGGAAAATCCTCATTGAAAAGAGTGTCTCTTGAACTCACTGAACAGATGTGCGAGAAGTACAGGCATAAACAGTACAAGGCACAGAGAGCATGCTGAACACGGTCCTGGAGCCCGCCTACCTCGTCCAGCAGTGCCAGGTGTACCGGTGTATGGTCAGTCTGCAGCTGGAAGTACCTTGGTTCTGAGACAGTCCAATCCACCCACTTCAGCACACCCATTGCTACCACTGGAAACCTACAGGTAAATAATGCTTCCTTAAACAAGTTTTTTAGAAAAACAAACACCAAAATTAAATGGTTAGAAAGGTTTATAAAACAACAAGCTCAATCCAGCCCATCAATTCACTCTTCAAGATGCCCTGCCAGGGACATGCTTCGTAGTGAACAGTCTGATGAGTCAGCATCCTCTCAAACGTGCAGTGCAAGAACCCAATTCTCAGCTTACTTTAAACCACTTTACTGGTTTAAAAGGAAAAGATCATTAATGCAAAACAGTGAGCTTAGTGGGCTGGGGTGAAGTTTACTCTTATTTAGCAAATCCCTTCTTTGTCCCTAGTACAAATTAACCGGGGAAAGATTCAACTGCCTGAGAGGACAGCCAATTTGTAAGCTTTCCTAGTGACTACTTACGTATATAATTGGCATAATTGCAAATCACTTCTATGGCAGCAATCTTTTGTTGGCCTTTTACTGTAAATAGACCTTTTTCTTCAAATCAATTTTTATAATTCTGGTTGGTCTTCCTTTTTCTTAAGTCTAATTTGTAAACAGACTTCTGGCAAGCAAAGCTCTGAAAATTACACCGCTAAAACAGTTTAAAGTTCTCTGCATATGTTTTAAAAAGAAAAAATAAATAAGTAAGTATCTCTGAAGCTTTTATGTTTTTTGAGCTTTTAATTGAAAACTCAAGCCACTTCCTCCCAAAAGGATTACGTTTAGAAATAAGTTTCATTTTGCTTACCTAATACACTGATAGAGTGTACTCAACTCTGCCACGAGTTCAGAGGCCCCTTTGTTCTCATTGCAACACAAATTGTGAACAGTTTCAACAGCTTTCGATGTTGACTTCAGCTCATCTTTATTGATGCTCACTCGCTTGTTCTGAAAACACAGGCAACAGTGGTGAATCCTGACGGAGCCTGCACCCTTGCAGTTGGGGTAATGTGGGATTGGCCACTTCTCTCTGCAAAGCACCTTCCCTATCTCTCAAGTCAGGAGTCAATTTACTTGTCAAACTTCAGTCACCCAGCATAGAGAAACTGAAACCAGTGAGACTGGTGTTGGTCTGCAGCTCGGGGAAGTCAGTTTCATTTCTTTACTCACGCTTCAATTAGAGTTTGAATAAGCAGTATAGACACTATGCACATTTTCTTGAGACATTTAGCACTCTATGCATAAACACGAGAAAAGATATTTCTGAAACTAGATGGGCTCATGATTTCTTGCAGCCAAAATTTCCAAATAATGCTAAAGAGAGGAGGTTACTTATCTCCCTAAAAGTCCATCGATTCTCAGAACTGACAGTACCTTCTTCCAGGTCTCAACCACACTTGCTGCATAAGCCAAGATATGGATGTACTTGTGCTTGTGGTCCTGGTTGATCCTGGCTCCTGGTTTAAAGAGTGACTGCATAAACAGGTCCAGGAAGGCTGGCACTCGGATCTGGGGAGAAACAAGGCCATTGAAAGGAATGCAGGAGAGAGATGGCAGGTAAGTCCACACCCACTTAGGGCAGGAGTGAGGGCATGCCACTCACTCCCCCACCCCCACCCCGCTGCTGCGCTCTGCCCAACAGGTGCACTAATGTGTGCAGCTCTGAGAGAGTGATGGGACCAGGAACAGGACAGAAACATTTCAACAGGAATTTGCACTCACTGACTTAAGAGAATTAAGAGAAACACAGACTTTCCAAAATAACCCTTATGATGAACAATGGGGGTATCCCATCTTATTATTAAAATGAAAAGCAACTTACAAGTTCAACAGGAGGCGGGTCCATGCTTGTAAACATCTTGAACAGGACTGTGATGTCGGCTGGATTCAGGGCTCCTTTGGACAACATAGCACCAAGGGCCTGACAAGCCCTGGGGTAGGAGGCAGCTGTGCCTAATGCTAGTGTGATCTGACTGGCATCATGGCCCCTTGATGGAAAAAGTCACATATCCCATTGTTAATAAGGTGGGCTATGTTGTTAATGACCCTTCCCTTCCCTCTCCTTCCTTCTCTCCCTCCCTTGCTCCTTCCCTCCTTCCTTCTTCTCATCCTTTTTTCACATTTAATACTTTGAGTAGTATGGATCCCTCTGGGTTTTCATGTTTATGTCATTCACTGGTCTACCAACTGAGCTATGAAAACAACATTTGGAGCGACTTGGGAAAGAAGGATTCAAATACAGCTCACAGACTTTCTAAAAGGAACCACACACTTTTCAAATATCTTACTAAGAGTCCATTAGTAGAAAAGAAAGATAAGAAGAGCTAATTTTGCTCTGTAAGATATGTACTACAAAATAACAATTAGACTGCTGAATAACTATTTCAAGATTTGTTATTTGCTATTGATGAATCCTACTACATGAAAATACAGGTTCATAAATCCAGTGAATTGAACAATAATCAAATACTTTACAAAATATTCATCAAAGCAATACTTTAGAAAGCAAGCTCTCTACATTTAAAATTACCCTGACTTTTCCAGCTCTACTGGGTAAAAGCAAGTTTACCTATAGGTCAAAATAGGAGGACCTAGAGTCTGTGCCTGTGGAAATGGGGCGGGGGGTGATTTTGTGGAGAGCACCTAGTGAGGACTAGGGTAGGCAGAAACACCGCCTCTCACTTCTCCTGGGCGAAGCGCTGAACTTCCTGAGCGATCCTGCGCACGGCGGAGCCTCCTTGCTCTTCCTGGGCCAGCACAGACATCATGGCTTGGGCAAACAGGTATGTGTGTTCCCCGTGGCACACCATTTTCTGAAAACAGAGAGAGAGTTTGGGGTTTCATGATTGCAGCAATGACATACGTAGAGGAAAGAGTCCAACTTCAACAGTTCTCCTGCGTGGAAGTTATTATCTTGGAAGGTGCGTTGCGACCTGGACATTCTCTAAAGGAAAGGAGCATTTTATGTTTGAAAATGCAAGACCCAAAACAGGTTCCTTCTAATCTGAAATACATAAAGTAAAGAACTTACGGCAAACTCAGGGAGGTTTTTTTCAAGGTTTTCTTCTCCTCCATCCAAAATTGTAGCTAGAGAAGTACGAAGTACTCTAGAAAACACTTCCAACTGCTGGCAAGCTGTGGATACACTGGTTATCTCCCCCTGGTACCCTGCATCAGAAATAAGCTACAATACAAAAGTAAGAAGCCAAAGAAAGTGTCAACAAGTAGTGACCACACATTTCAGAGAAGGTTGACTTGTCATCAGTGTTTGTGGTGAGCTGGGATAAGTAAGCAGTGGTCTCAGGTCTCAAACCTTTACTCTGATCCCTGCTTCACCACTAACTAGGTTTGTGGCCCAGGCTAACCACCCCACCTTGGTTTCTTTGTGTATAAGATTAAGGAGACATTCTTAAAGGCTCCTCTCAGAACACAACAGACTCTATAAATACATTCCTGCAAATCCTAAAACATAGTCCCTGTTGATCCACAAACACAGGTACATATTCTATGCTTTTCTTTCTCAATGTATGACTTTCTAAAGTGAAACGATGAAGACTTTTACTAACAACAGCAAATATGACCTTTCAAAGGAAACAGACCACCAACCAACATAAAATAACCCTCACTCATAAACACTTTTATCTGTCTCCAATACTCTTCCTACCTTAACAGTGAAGTTAAGCATCAAACAGTCTGGATGGGCTTCAGCCAGTTTGTAAAAAAGGTCTCTCCATGTGGTATGTGCAATCATTTGTTCAAGCCACGCTGGAGTCTGCCAACAAACAAACAGCAAGATAAGAGGCCTAGCCTTAGCTTAAGTGAAGATTATGTTGTATAAACAAATCACAGAATATTACAGCTGGAAGAGCCCTTGTGAGGTCTGGCCCTGCAGTCCCCAGAGAAGGAAGCAGACCTGGAGGTGGTGAGGCCACATGGGTAGCCGAGTGGCGGAGCCAGAGCCCCTGAATGCCCACACAGAGCTCTTGGAAGATCCGACTCTGCCCAAGAGCTCACTGACAGGTGCTTCCTGGAGACACAGGAGAGTCTAGTGGAAGCACGTATGCAGTGGAGCTGCATCATACGCACAATTGACTCCTGCTAAATCAGCTGTATGCCCTTGGTGAAAGAGAAAAAGGCAATTTAAATAGCACAGGTGGTTTTGTCCATCACCAGGTGTAGTGGCCATGAAAATGTGTCTCTCAGCTCTTCTGCGTGACTGACGGACTGCGGGCTGCACTCTGGATCCACCTCCCATTTGTCCCAAGGCTAGGTTTCCCATGGGCTGCTCCCAGCCACTGACTGAGTGCGGCAGGGCTCCTGAGGCAGGCCTGTTCCTAGGAGACATGGGGCTCCAGTGACAGCTGAGGACTACCCAGTGACATTGTTGAAGCCTTCTGAAAACTGCACTATCGTCTAAGACTCCTCCTACCCAACCATCCTTCCTTCCCTCTTGCCTTCAGGGGTCTGACTGCATCATGCCTCCCCCAGCTCCTGCAGCCCCAACCCAGCTTCCCTCACAAGTGTGTCCTCCGTAATCTCCTGCACGTCTAAATCCTGTCTTGGCGTCTGCTTCTTGAAGGACTCAAACAAGTACAGCACACCACTCAGAGCCTGTGCCCTAGAGTGAGGTGTGAATCTGCTGTTCCTCCTCTCCACTCGGTACCTGTGTGCCTCTCTGCATGCAAGATCTCAGTACACTGAGTATAGCATTTAAAGGGCAACTCCGACTCTGTGCAATTTGTCTCACACCCTGATTTTAGTACCCAACTCTTACATTACTTACATAATATGCCATACTCCACTGTACACAAGGAATTAGCAAAAGACCCTAGGAACTGGTATTAGAAAAAGAAAAGATTCCTCACCTCTCCTTCTTCAGTAAAAATAGAATCTGCTTTGCGTGGGTCAAAATGTTTGATTAATAAACTCTTCAAGTGATTTTCTACAGTTTCCTGAACCTGCACTGGTTCAACACCTGAAAAAAAATGAAAGCAACCAGATGGAAAACGGCAATCTCTGAATTTGTATATTACTTCAGGAAAAAGCAGTCAGGTCAAAAGTCTGTGAATCAAACAACAGAATTGCTCATGTCCACTTAAGATTTTGGACCTCTTATAAAAATTAATATTTATTAATCATATTCAATGGTAAGACCCAAGAAGGAGCATAGGGCAGAACACAGAAGGATGTTCTACCCTTGTCTACGTGGAAAGGACAACATCTTCAAAACCTCGCTAAAGACAAGGACAAATTGGCAAAACAGACAGGTAGGAGAGATGGAAAGACATACTCCAACAAAGCAGCAGAGAGCAGATGCCAGCCAAGAGACACACTGGCATCTAATCACTGTGACAGCAATGAATCGACTAGTTTCCGGACAGTACTTACTCAGTGATGTCATCTGCACCCAGTTTAGTGGATTTACAGTAAGGCTCTACTTTGATCATATTAGCTAAAAGCCATAATCATACCCAGTCCTAAATTATCCATCATTTACTGCTTGCTATAATAGACCTCTTAAAAATGACACACTGAACATACACTGTATAATCCTATAATTCTACAACATGGTAGGGAAAACAGCTCAATGAGAATCACATTTGCAGGCTATCTGTAAACCTCAATTACTGAATCAAAGATAAGAATCAAGCAGATGAAGATGGGTAAGAAATTCAGTTCTTACTTATTTAAGACTGAAAAACCAGGAAAACACAGAAGGCCTTTCCAATTTATCAGCATCATAATGATCCATAGGTCTATTTAAAAAAGGGGGGGGTTGACTACCCAGGACAGGGGCACCCACAAAGCACCTGTCTGAATGAGCCACTCAGCCAGCAGGTTGACAGTCTGGGCCACAGCAGTGTAGTTCTCTGATAAGAGCTGGATAACATTCTCCGGAGACCCTCCTGCCTGAAAATATCTAGAAAAAGTAACAAGTAAGCTATTACACGAAAATGAATGTAGATGGGCATGGGAATGGATAACAGGGAGGCGAGGAGGGAGATAGGTTAGTAAGTTTTTTTAAGTGTTGGGGGACCCCTAGAAGCCTTCCATTCCATATCACATTATTCTAACTTTTACATATCATCTTTTAGGTTTATTACAAAACTTTCTCTGAATTATCACCCACCTTCCTCCCAATACAAATAACCTTTCTCACATACCTCTTCAGAGTGTTAAAGATGGAGGGTTCCATTATATAATCCCGGGTAGAAAACTTATGTAGGCATTCCTGCTGGACCTCTGCATCATCTTCTCCCTCTCCATAATCATCCTCCTGCTGTTGATAAACGCCATGAGCCATGCAATTTTTTCATTAATACAAATATCCTGTAATCTCAGCTTAAATCTGTATAACGCTGTCCCTTTCAAAAGTATTCCACAGACAATATTTCATTTTTCTTTCACAACAATCTCATGATATAGGACGAACAACTAACGAGTGGCTAAGAAAACGGGATCCAGAGTCACACCGAGTGGGTTTGAATCACAACTCCACCCTAGTGAACTTATGTCCAGCGCTCATACACGTTTCCTGACCTCTCTGGGTATCCGTTTCCTCCTCTATTAAACAAAGATAATCATAGTACCTACCCTCATTTGGCTGTTATAAGTATTCCATGAGAGAATTTTTGGAAGAGCCAAGCACAGTACCTAACATTTCGTAAGAGTTCGACAGATGTTAACTATTATTGTTTTCACTATTATTATTTCATATGTGCCATTTAATGCTTTCCAACAAAGACTGATGAAGTGATTCTTGAAGGCATAAGCCATCAATTTGCAGTTAGAAAGTAAAGACCATTGACTTGCCTCAAATCAGC